GGTGGCTATAATGTGGGCATGGCAGAGCAGGGGACTTGACAGGACACACAAAACTGGAGGTGAGTGGAGCCGAGAGAAGCCATATGCACTTCCAGGACTCGGTTTCTGGCCTGGGCAGGGTGCTCTTGGGGAAGTGATGATGGCTGAGCCCAGACTGAGCCCTGCCACCTGTGGCCACCACAAAGGGAGCCTGGCTCAGCCTGTAGCCCAAGTGTGCTGCTGGGCACTTTCCTTGGCTGATGGAAACACTCCGCTTGACTCTAAAATCAATCTTTCCCCAATTGCCTCCTGGGTCCCAGAAGCATCTGGGCTCGGCGCTGCATGAATAACTATGCATCTTCTTCCACACCCGGGCCAAGTTCTGGAGCCCAGGCCAGTCTCTACTGCAGAGGGGTGAGGGCCAGCAGGACCGTGCTGTCAGGGGCTCTGGTGGGGGTGTGAGGGGGAGGAACTGTGGAAGAGGCAGTCCTGGGTGGGCAGGAGTCCTGGGCCCAGCCTCCCTGTTACAACCCATCAACAAGGGCACCCTACCAAGTTGATGGGTGCCCTCCCCCAGTTATTTTGTAGCTATTTAGAATGAGTACTTCTTTCTTGTATTAATAATCGGTCAGAGTTAGCAGGTGGCTGAATCTTGGCATTGTTCATGTCAAAAGCAATAGTGGGGGATGACTTCCACATTAGGGTGGAAGAGTTCTGGTGACCTGGTGGGTTAGTCATTTTGCTGATTACTGCCAAGGTCACAATTTAAAACCACCAGATGCTTCAAGGGAGAGAGATGAAGTTTTGTACTGCCCTAAAGAATTACACTCTCATAGCCCCCCAGGGATGGTTCTACCCTGTTCTATAGGGTTGCTATGAGTAGAAACAGACTTGCTTCCAGTGGGCAAGAGTTATCACAGAGCATGCCTGTCCTGCCTGGAAGCTGACAAAAGAGTTGGACAGGCCCTCCCTGCAGTCTAGTTAGGCACAGCTGGCCGGGAGCTCAGGGAAGAGCAGGTGTGCTATGGGAAGGAGGAGGGGTGGAGTCCCTTCTTGCATCAACTATCTCTGGGACAGGGAGGTGGGAGGGGCTGTTGGGAGGTGCCTACGTCCATGGCTCTGACCTCTCTAAGGGTGCTACAGGTTAAAGGTAACCCCACCGACATCTGCTGTTGAAATCTTATTGCAGCCCTGTATGGTGGGCACCCTGAGGAGGAACTGGCTCAATCCCACCTTTTATTTTTGGTCTACTCTCTTCTTGACATCTGGGGACAAACAGTAGTTGCTTCTGGCATCCTCCAGTCTAGCCACGAAGACCCACATCCTTGTCTCAACAAACACACAATAAACCAAACCATACCCACTGCCGTCAGGGAAGTCCATTCTGCCTCAGCAATCCCATGTTAGGTCGGGCTGACTAGAGAACCAAATCCAGGGCCACTCATCTCTGGATAAGGAAGAGCTTTCTATCGAGAGGTAATTATAGATCAAGAAGACATCCCAGCCCAGTCCAACCCAAGTTCCTAAGTCCAATACTAGTGCCTAAGTCCCTCTTCAGACTCGCCCCGCCCCGTGGGAGGCTGCAGAGTGCAGGGAGATCACAGGCAGTGGGTGCAGAGACACGTGGATCCAAGGTTGGTAGAAACATGGCCAGGCTCTGGCAGCTCTCAGGATCAGCGGCAGAGAGAGGGGACATTTCCGGGCCCACTCCCAAGGAGACAGCATCAAGCTGTGACCTGCTTGACAGACTGGATTCCACCGGATACTTTTATACTCCTTCAAGCTGACATCAGATGAGCTAACTAATACAGATCCTGTCGGCCAGAGTCGAACTGCTCCTGAGGGTTTTTCACGACTATACATCTTTCTGGGAGCAGATAGCCCATCTTTCTCCCTCGGAGCAGTTGGTGGGTTGGAACTGTTGACCTTACAGTGAGAAGCCCCCGTGCCACAGGCACAAGAGCTCTTCCCAAATCCAAGCCCTCTGCTCAGACATTTCTTGTAGCTGTCAGACAGCTTGGGTCTGGGGTCGGAAGGCCTATGAGAATGTGCTGGGTGCTACCTCTTATCCAACAGCCAGGGACCCCTTCCTTCCTTGGGGGAGTGTAGGGCACTGCTTAGGAGTGTGGCTGCTAAGTGTGTTTCCGGGGCCCACCACTCAAGAGCTGTGTGATCTCAGGGAAGTTACTCGCCTCTCTGGGTCTCAGTTTTTCCTTCTGTAAAATGGTACTCAGTAGGAGGCTGCTGGGAAATTTCAATGAATTTTCATGACAGAAGGATAAGGGCCAGAAGAACTCCGAATCTGTCTCGGAAGAAGTACAGCCAGAAGCCTCCTTGGAGCAGGGAGGAGCGACTTCGCCTTAGGTCCTTTGGACATGTTGTCAGGAGAGAACAGTCGCTGGAGAAGGACATTGTGCTTAGTAAAGTTGAGGGTCAGCAAAAAAGAAGCCTCATTGCATCACTTCTGACTCATGGCAACCCTAAAGGGCAGCAAACAAGAGGAAGACCTGTGATGAGCTGCACTGATACAGTCACAGCAACAACGAGCTCAAACACAGCAACTGTGAGGATGGCACAGTGTTTCCTTTTGTCCAAAATAGGGTCTGTAGGAGTCAGAACTGACACCATGGCTTCTGATCTCGCCCCCCCCCCAAAAAAAACCCAGTAGCAACATGACACCATGGCTCCTAACCACAACCACGGTAACAACACTTGCAACATGGTTGGGCTGGGGCCGGGTCCAGTAAGTGCGTTGTCCCTGTCGTCAGTGGTTGCTAGTATTACTGTCATTCTGATGCACATGCAGAGCAGGGAGACACAGGTGCAGTCTTACTGTGACTTGTGAGCAAGACTGCAGTCATTTACTTTGGAGTCAGCCATGTTTAAGGACAATTGCTCTTGCCACTTTTATCATTGTATATGCTTTCACGGCTTCCAGCGTTCAACAGGAGCTTGGAATATCCATTTGTATTTGAACCCTGTTTGGGGATGACTTGACCCTCCAAGTTCCCTGGTTCTTGTATAAGATTGATAAGGGGCAGCCATATGGAAAGTGGATGTTAAGATAATGTACTACAGTTATTTTTTGTTTAGATATTTTTAATTTACATTTTATTTTATTGGGGCTCTTACAGCTCTTATCACAATCCATATATATATCCATTTTTGTCAAACACATCTTTATATATGTTGTCATCATCTTTTTCAAAACATTTTCTTTCTATTTGAGCCCCTGGCATCATCTCCTCATTTTTGCCTCTCTCTCCCCCACCCGCCCTTCTGCCCTGATGGCCCCTTGATAATTTATAAATTATTATCCTTTTATTTTTTCATGTTTTACACTGACTGCTGTCTCATTTCACCCACTTTTCTGCTGTCTGTCCCCCTTGGATGAGGGCCACACATCGATCATTGTGATCTGTTCCCCCTTACTCCATGCCTCCTACCCTTACCCTCCTAGTATCAACGCTCCCTTTATTGGTCCTAGGGGTTTATCTGTTCTGGATTCCCTGTGTTTTGACCTCTTATCTGTACCAGTATACATGTTCTGGTCTAGCCAGCTTGGTAAGATGGAATTGGGGATCATGGTAGTGGTGGTGGTGGTGGGGGAGCATTAAAGAACTGGAGGAAGGTTGTGTGTTTCCTGGACCCTGACCGGCTCGTCTCTTCTTTGTGGCCGTTCTGTAGTCCAATTGACTGCTGATGGGCTTTGGGTAATGGACTACAGTTTTATGGCTTTTTGTGACCTGTCATGTATACTGTACTAAGCATTACAGCCCATCTGTATGTGTTCCATAATTGACACTGGGCCCTAGGTAGGTTGTCTGCTGTGCTGGGGGAGGCTGGCTCCTCTCACTGATGAGCAAATGAAATCAATTGCAGGTGATACAAGAGAAGGTCTCCGAACCAGATCCAGGATCCAGATCCAGCAGAAGTGAGCTAGCTGCCATCGAGTGCCAACCTATACTCAGAGTAGACCTCTGAAAGAAACACTGAATAAAACCTCCCTCAAGTGCATCAAGGCGGTGACCAGATTAAAGAGGTGGTACTCTACCCTCTGTTCCCCATCCCTGCCTGGCTGCTTCACAGAAGATTCCATCAGGAGTTGACCAAATTATCATGGGAGAATCCTGGCCCACCCAAGATTACATACAATCTAACTTCCACACGCAGCCTGGACTCCTACGAAAAGGCTTTTCTCTTTCTTGGTCTCACTTGGAGTAGTTATTAATTGGCTTTTGGCCTCAGGGCAGGACTCGATATTTGAGGAGACGTTACCACTCCCACAGAGACGTCCCTAACCTAACACTGGTGCTCAGCAGGACAGAGCGGGACGCCTTCTGTGAGATTCTCTCCCAGTAACTCCTCTGCACTGTGTCCACCGTCCTCCCTAGTCCTTCTCCATTTTGCAAGAAAAAGAAATTGAAAATGATGACAACATATGCACAAATGCGATGCATACAACTGATGGATGGATTGTTCTAAGAGCTGTAAGAGCCCCCAATAAAATGATTAAAAAAGAAGATCCTGCCACGGATCCAAGGTCCTACAGGATCTATCCCTTGCTCACCTCTGAGATCCCACCTCTCACGCCCTGCACCCCCTCTCCTGTGTTCAGATTCCTCCAATCTCCTGACCTTTGGTCAAGTCATTGCCCTTCGTAAGCAAAACCTGTGGCCTGAGTCAGAGGCCACTGCTTCCCAGCGCTCCCGACGTCTTCATCCCTAGGTGCCCTTTTCGAGGGGTGGGGCAGGGGGTGGGGCTCCAGTTTGAAGCTGACCCAGAACCCAGATACACAGGGACACTGCCTGGGGCACTCCTGCTCACCAAACGCGGCTGTTCAAGAGCCGCCTGCACTTGAGTCCTAGGCAGGGGCTGCCGCAGCAGGCGTGCAAGTGGTTCGTGGCCCCGCCCCTCGCCTGGAGTGGACGGTCGCTGGGAGGGGCGGGCCCTGGAACTCGGGCCACGCCCCTCCGGCTAAAACTCCGGCGGCAGCGCCCAGTTGGGCTCAGCTGACACTGTTCTTCACGTGACGCTAGTGGCAGGCGAACATGGCGACAGCCGCTAGGTAAGTGCTCCTTGCGCCACTCGATCGGTCCCGCGGGCGCGGAGAGGGGGCCTGAGCTTCCGGGCAGGGCAGTGGGTGAGAGGCCCCGCAGCGCTGCGTCCCTCGTTCCCGCTTCCCATCCCGGGGTCTTTGCCTGCCTGCTCCAAGTCCGGGGTCGACGCTGCGTCCTGCATCTGTTGCCCCTTCCTGGACCCCTATTTAGCCCGCTCCGGACTCATTCTTGGGGGACGCCCCGCTGCTCAGGCCCCACCACGGTGGCATCTCCAGGATGTGCGCCCGAAGTGGGGGCCTCGGATCCGCGCGCGTGCTCACTGCTGCGACCCTCAATTGGGAAGGCGGCGTTGCGGAGGGCGTCCGGGGGACGCACTCAGTCGCTTCCGGGGGAGATGGACTTGGGATTCCCCTTTCCCCAACGGGCCACTTCTCCACATCTCAGAGAACCCAGTGTCATCTCCTGAGGGACCCCTTCCTCCCGCATTGTGCAGCACTAGCAGCTTGTGAGTGGGAGAGGCTGGACAGTCTACCAATACAGTCTACCCTAGGTTGGGGTGTTGGTGGAGCTGAGTAGTGAGCCTGGGGGGGGGGGGGGTTGGCCCAGAGGTGCTAGGGGCTCACAGGATTACTGCTAGAGAGGGACAGAGCCCCAGGTGCTAGATTGGGAACAGATCAAGCACTGGCAGGCTGCATGTCTTAAGGTAGAGTGAATGGTAGGGGCCTAGCAGTGGGCCCCAAGGTTGGGAGCACTCAGAACGTACTCCCTCAGTACTTAGTGGGCTCTTATAGGGTCACTATGAGAATCCACACTGATCTGATGACAGTGAGTGTGGCTTTGACTTTGCCGTATTTGGTTTTGTTTGCCCTGGGGTGCTTACCGGCCCGTGGGATAGACAGACACATGGGAGGGACCCTGCCATCTGAGATGTCTCTCTCTGATCTTGACGCTCACCATGGAGGGGACTGGGTTTGGAGCCCTGGGGAGAAGTGTGGGAAGGTGCCGAAGTGATGAAGAGGTGGCCGTATCTCACCTCTGGCTTTCCTAGTGCCATGAGGCTGGGCTCAGACGTGCCTGGAACGTCTATCTTTATTCTGACACCAACTCTTTGCCCTACGGATCTCTACATCTATACTGGGTTCAATAATTTGTTGCAATAGCCACACAGAACTCACAGATAAAACTCAACTATGGGAGTCTATTAGAGAAGTTAACAGACTACCACAACTTAGTATCAGTAAGCAGCACAGACATGATCACTGGTCCACAGCAGCGCCTCTCCTCAGCCAGCAGCCAAGTGACTCTGGTCCTCAGCCTCTCAGTCACATGGTTCCTAGGCCTCTGCCTCTGTGGACCAGGAAGCCCACCTCTGGCTCTGCTTCACAGACCCATCATAACAGAGAACTCCCTGCGAAGTGGGATGATAGCCATAGGCCGAAGCTAGAAGGGATTATGGCTAGGCAGGCTATGCTAATGGTCTAATGTATTCAGCCCGAGGTTGGCTGGACCCTGGAGCAGAGCTCTTTTGCCAGAGACAAGGCTGGGAACAAGCTGATTCTCTGGGCGAGGGGGCCAGAATGCTTGAGGGGTGACAGAGGTGGCCCCAAGAGGACCTCTGATGACTAGTACACACTACAGGCCCAGAGCTGCTCAGGGATCCTCCCAGAAGGTCTTCGCAGCACCCAGCACCCCTCCCCTTTCCCACCAGTAAAGGCCTCCTTCTGACAGTTCAGAGACCCTCCAGTCGTGCTCCTCAGGGCTGTGAGAGGCTGCTTCCTTTCAGGCCTCTGCAGGCAGACCTGGGGCCCAGGGCCAGCCCATGCCTACCTTGGCTTGGGGCTTGGGGGACACTGAGTGAGCAAGGGACTTTCTTCTCAATTCGTCCCAACAGCTCCCCCTGCAGCCTTCCTGGGAGTCTTGTTGACTGGGAGAGAGGGGGGCTATGGCTGGGATAGAATTCTGAGGAGTATAAAGAAACAACTTTAAATTGTTTTTTAGGTACCCTGATAGTGTAGTGGTTTTGAGTTGGGCTGCTAACTCAGCAGTTCAAAACCACTAGCCTCTCCTCAGGAGAAAGGTGAGACTTTCTACTCCTGTAAAGAGGTAGGGTCTTGAAAACTCACAGGGGGACATTCTACCCTGTCCTTCCAATAGGATCGCCAGGTGTCAGCATCGCCTCAATGGCTACGAGTTTGGCTTTGAGTTCTTTAGCTCAAAGGCTGTGTGGTGAAAAGGTTGCCAGTGACCAGCAGTGAGTGGCCTGGGGCGTGGGCCTGTTATGCCACAGGTGATGTTGCAGTCAGCATTCTTCTGGAGGAAACAGGTCCCCACCTTGATGCGCACCTTGTGCTCTGGGAGCAGAGGCTTTGGACTGACCTTGGGCCAGGCGTGGGTCTTGAGAGGCAGATTAGCTGTTTCTCCTCCTCCCCCATCTCTCCCTCTGCTTCTGACTATACAACGCCCTCTCTGTCCCCATGTGGCTCTCAAACCCTCTCAGAAGAGAAGCAGTGGGGTGCAGGCTCCCTGCAGTCAGAATAGCTTGAACTGGCTGGGCTGACAGTTACCTGGTCCCCAGCCGAGGCTGAGGCTGTGAAGTGAGAACGCTGGCAGTCCCTGGCCAACCTCTCTTGCTGGGAGTTTAGCTGTGTGGTCCCATCTAGAAATGGCATCTAATTCTGGGGCAGGGATCGTTCCCTAATCAGTGCTGGAGGCCCCATGGTGCCGGATAAAACATGCAGTTCCTCCTCAACATAATGTTTCTGAATGCATGAAATAAAACACAGTACTGCAGTATTGAAATACAGCTAACAGTGTGAAACCAGCTTTTCCCGTGGTAATGTGTACCTCTTCATTGGCACATTAAAATAAAAAGCAGTCTCCTGCCATCGAGTCCATTCTGACTCATAGCAACCCCATAGGACAGGGTGGAACTGCCCCTGTGGGTTCTCGAGACGCTCATTCTTTATGGGAGTAGACAGCCCCCTCTTTCTTCCAAGGAGCAGGTTTTGAACTGCTGACATTTCGACTAGCAGCCAAAATGTAACCACCATGTCACCAGGGCTTCTTTGATGATCATATTAAATAATAAAAATATTGCAGCAGTTCCAGCAGCCACCTTTTCTTTTGAGCATGCATGATAATTTGAGATAGTGCAGTGATTTGAAAATTCCCATGATTTCTGTTGGTGACAGATTCCAGTGCACTGTCCTTGATGATGGGTTAGCTGCTTACAGTCTTAATTGGGAGACATGTACATTTAATTTAGAGGCTTAGAGGAAATGAAGATAGGGCCTTGGGGGCAGTGAGTCAGCTTTGTCCAAGGACAAGGCTCAGAAAGGCTAGAGAAGGAGGAAGACTGGAAACAGGAAAGGCAGGGAGCGCTGGGATCGTGCTGTAGCATTGGGGGCATCGTAAGCCATGAGAGCGCATTAGAGCTGAAATTCTGGGCACCCCAGTTTGCAAAGGGCTCTGCATGTCAGTGATAGCCCCAGATCCCTTTGTAGAGTCCCCACAGAGACCAAGCTTCCACCGAATGCTTTCTGATCACTCACCAAGGACATAGATAACCTTGCCCTTGGGCAGCGTGCCTTGGAGGATGCATTTCCTCCTCCTCTCTGTCCAGCCCAGGGATGGACAGTCTCTTTCTCAGGAGCTTTCCTAGGTTTGTCCTTGATGGAGGTCACCATACAGGTGCCACATAGGCCTACCCAATCAGTCACATCCTGACTGCCTGGGTTGGAAGGCTGTGGGCCAATCTTGTAAGCCCTTCTATCTAACCATGCATGTGTCCCCATCATGCTCCCATTCCTGCTTCTGTGGTCCCACCTGTAACCATGATTTTTTTTAAAGTCATTTTTATTAGGGGCTCATATAACTCTTATCACAATCCATACATACATCAGTTGTGTAAAGCACATTTGTTCATTCATTACCCTCATTCTCAAGACATTTGCTCTCCACGTAAGCCCCTGGCATCAGCTCCTCATTTTCCCCTTCCCTCCCTGCGCCCCCCTCCCTCATGAACCCTTGATAATTTATAAATTATTATTTGGTCATATCTTGCACCATCAGACATCTCCCTTAACCCACTTTTCTGTTGTCCGTCCCCCAGGGAGGAGGTTATATGTAGATCTTTATAGTCAGTTCCCCCTTTCTACCCTACCTTCCCTCTACCCTCCTGGTATTGCCACTCTCACCACTGGTCCTGAAGGGATCATCCATCCTGTTTCTAGTTCCTATCTGTACCAGTGTACATCCTCTGGTCTAGCCAGGTTTGTAAGGTAGAATTGGGATCATAATAGTGGGGGTGGGGAGGAGGAAGCATTTAGGAACTAGAGGAAAGTTGTATGTTTCATCGTTGCTACACTGCACCCTGACTGGCTCGCCTCCTCCCTGCGACCCTTCCATAAGGGGATGTCCAGTTGGCTTCAGATGGGCTTTGGGTCTCCACTCCGCACTCCCCGTCAATCACAGTGATATGATTCTCCGTGATGTTTTGATGTGTGTGTTTCCGTTGCCCACCCAAGCCCCTTTTAAAGCTTGATAATTCAAGGAGCCTTTGGACACCATTTTAACCGTGTGCTAATGGCCTCCCTCATCCAGACGATGTGCCTTTGTCTCTCAAATTATATTTGAGATGGGATCTCTTTTGTATCCTAAAACAAGAGAAAACAAAGTGGGCATGAATTGTTGAATGTAAAACTGATCACCTGTTCTGGAAACCTTCACTCAGTTCACAATAAAAAGCTGGGGGGGAAAAAGCTGTGACTTTCCCCATTCAGGCTCAGAGAGCCCACGCTTTCTATGCAGGAACCCCCAGGGGGTTATGCGCACCTGCTAGAAACCTTCCAGGTGGCCGTGGAAGGGGAGAGAAGTGGGTGGCTTAGTGCTGAGGAGGCACAAGGTTGAGTGAAACTGGGGGTGGGCAGCAGCTTCATACTCCCCTTGGCCACCTGGCTCCACTCCAGATCACCTGACCTCCCCCGGGATTGATTCCTGGGTCTTGGCAGTTGGATGGCGGAGGGTTTGTTCTGTGAGTTAGATCCCCATAGGGCCCTGGCGGGCCTGCTACCCTTCCTCTGAGCCAGAGTTCATGGGGCTTTACACAATCTTGAACTCAGAGATGACTTGGCCTTTGCCTTTTAAATTGCAGGCTCCAGTTAACAAGAACTGAAGCAGATTCCAGTGGCCGGTGTTTGGTTGGCACTTGTTGGCTGAACTAGCAGGGGGAAGTCCACCCGCTCTGGGCTCACCTGGCCAGAAATCAAAGGGCATCTCTCTCTAGTCCATGCTCTGGGGGTGGCCTGTATTAATTAGTGACTGCTACACGTGGTCCCACCTGACGGCTCGGGCCAGGCTGGCAGTGGGCCTTTGGGGTGCAGTTCTTGTAGATAGCCCCTGTCTGACTGCTTGAGCAAAGGGGGCCTGTCCAGACTTGGGCAGCCTATGCATCCTGAGAGAGTGAAACTCACTGCTATCAAGTCGATTCCACTCCTGGTGAGCCTACCGGACAGAATTTCCCTGTGGGTCTCTGAGACTGGACCAGGAGCAGAAGGCCTGATCTCTCTCTGGTGGAGGGGCTGGCCATTTTGAACTGCTGACCTTGCTGTTAGCAGTCCAGCATGTAAACCACTACACCACTAGGCCTCCTCCCTGAGAGAGTTAGGCCTCTAGGTTACAAGGGTCCCAGCCTTCTGAGATCTTCCAGGTGAGGGTGGAGGTCCCTGGGCTTTCAGGAAGCGGTCCAGGTGGAGGGAGAGGAGGGGGCAGTACTAAGCCCTGCAGGCCAGGTGGCTGAAGTATCACATTCTCTTAGGATTGTGCAGTTGGGTGACAGGTCCAGGTGGATTTGGGCCCGTTTTGTCTGAGCCCAACTGTGGCAGTGGCCTTGATGCTGTTCCCTCTGGGCACTTGGGGATCCCTGTGTTACCCCACCCCACCCCACCATGGACTTTGCTGAGTGCGGGGGAAATGGTGTGGAGGACATGGGAGGGGCCATGCCTGGGTGCTGGTAACTGCACTTTCAGTTCCTGGTAGTGGCCCTGGCTGGGGTGCATGTGCACCTACACTCTGTCATTTCAGGGGCCCCTCGCCCAGCCCTTGTGGCTGAGGATGACAAAAGCAGCTCTGGTCAGAGGAAACCCTGGTTGTCTGTCTCCCCAGGAGGGTGATGGGGCATATGCCCTGGGAGGTCAGTCTGGGACCCCCAGGGCTTGCTTTCTGCCCCTCTCAGGATTATGTGGCAACTCCTGATCTGTGTGACCTCGTGTGCAAGCTGAACACATCCAGCGCCGGCTGTGGGCCAAGCAGGTCCTGGGTCCTGGGCTGCAATAGTGGCTCAAGCAGATGAGGATCTCTGCCTTTGGGTGCTCACACTGCAGCCCACCCACAAGCCCAGACTACTCTCAGGTTCCAAGGGAAGTTGTGGGCGGTGGAGGGATGCTGATGGGGAACCAGGAAAGCGGTGACAGGCGGGTGGCCTGGCCCATCATGGAGGGGTTGGGGGATAAGGTTTCTGCTCATCTCCTCACCTCACCTCACCCACTGGCCAATCCCACCTGGAGGCCAGACCCTTGGGACCTGTGGATGACATCTCTATTGATAGGCTTCCTGGGCCCAGAGCTGGGACTGGACTGGATGGGGCAGGGGTGTGTGTGTGGGGGTGGGGTGGGGGGTGAGGGGTGGTGAAAATCCAGCCTGAATGCTAAGGTTAGAAGTTAAGTGATGCTCCTGGGGTCAGAGGTTTGGGCAGGGAAGGCCACCTGAGGTGGGGACATTGGTGTCAAGGTGTGTAGAGGGTGCCTGTGGGTCTCATGGTCCACGGGTTCACCTCCATTCTTCCTGGCAGTGTGGATGGGAAAGTTCCGCCAGCCCCTCAGCACAGCCCCAAGCGGAGCCACTCTGCCCTGGTGGCGGCACTGGTGGGGGGGCTGTCCTGCCTTCCTTCCCCCATTGCTTCATTTGATTGATGCGGCCAGGAAGGAACTGGATGGCGGGCCTGCCCTCCGGGAACACAGCACGTAAATGTATGTTTGCTGCTAGCTGGTGACGCAGGAAGAACGAGGCTGCTGTTCCCATAAAGATCCAGTCTCCTTTCATATTTTCAAGTCTAATTTAACTCAAAGTCTCATTTAATATCAGTTGGTGGCCTTTCTGACCTATTTTACATTTGTTCTGGTTTGTCATGTTTTCTGCTCTTTTCAATCCTCCTCTTTTGCTCTGTTATTTTTATTTATTTATTCCTTTTTGGTATGTTATTCTGCGCATGAAATCCAGGATAAGTGAATCTACAGAGACAGTCACTGGATTAATGGTTCTGTGGGGGGATGGCAGGGGGGTTGGGGAGCTATTAATGAATTCAAGAATGAAAAAAATGTTCTAATATTGTGGTGGTGATTGCACAACTCTTCTTAATATGACTGAACTATTGAATTGTATGATTGTGAACTAGATGCCAATATGCAGTTCACTGGCAGAGTGGTGTGAGGAGGGAGGGGTGAGTGCCCGACACATAAAGGAAGCTGGGTGAGGCTGGGGTCGGGGTGGGTAATGTGGGGCTGGGTCTGATCAGGAAAGTCCTCAGAAGAGGGGCAGAAAGAGCTGCAGGGAGACCTCCGAGCAGACCATTCCTGGCAGGGACCAGCAGTCCTGAAGGTGGGAACGTTCTTGGTGTTTACTGCAAGAATGTGGGTGTGGCGCAGTGAAGGAGCTAGGCGGCTAGCTTGGCAGGGCCAGGGCCTTTGCCCTGCAAAGGGGGGCTACCTCTGTGTATTCTTGATTGTGGATAGTTGTTTTAAGGGCAGTTGGGAGTGAGGGGTCTGAGCAGGACATGGGCCTGATCTAGCTAATTGAGTCTGTAAAGGGTAACTGGCTGTGGGTGGAGACCAGGTGGTGGGGTTGGCTGCTGGGCCAGGGTGGGAGGGGGATGGAGCCCACCAGGAAGAAGGGGGATAGGAGTGTTAGTCTGGGTATATTAGAGAGGCAAATCCACAGAAACTCATATGTATAAGAGAGAGTTTTATATAAAAGGTAAGTACACATCAAGAAAACATCCCAACCCAGTGCTGCCCAAGCCCACAAGTCCAACATTAGTCCGACATCAATCCACAAAGTCCTCCTCCGTCTCACAAAACACGCAGTGATGCTGACTGCAGGAGGAAAGCCGAGTCAGTGAATGTGTAAGCATCTCAGTGCTGGCAGGGGTCTCCACACAGCTGCTCCAGCATCCAGGGCTGCATCAGGGTAGGTCCACGTGGCTTCTCCTCAGGGATGTTTTGCAGAAAGTGAACCTTGCCAGCTGAAGCAGGGAACTGGCTAAGGCAGCTACACCCTGGTCTGACCATCAGAGAGCAAGAGACCTGAGAACTCGAAAGGCGGGGCTCACAGAGCCATTTATCTCTCTGCCCTTCAATTAACCCCACGTTTTATCAGCCGGGTTGACACAATAAACTTTAACTATCTTAAGGGGGTCGACTGAAGGTAGGGCCAGCGGGAAGTGGTGCAGAAGGGTGGGTTGGGGTGAGGGAGGTAGCAGCCTGTCAGACCACAATGACCCCCACCAAGTGGAGTCTCCTGTCAGTGTCCAAGCTCTCCTCTTGCTGAGGAGGGACCCCTGGGAAGGGGCAGGGCTCGGGGCCTGTGTGGGGCTAGCTTGGCTTGTGCTGAGTGACACCTGGACTGTGGGGTCTGTGATTCTCAGGGTGGGGGGACATCATGGACCTGTGGGGCAGCAGGTCTGTACCCAGGAAGCGAGCTTCAGGAAGAGGCCCCAGGCTGTGCCCCTGGGCGCCCCAGCCTAGAGGTTGAGCTGAGGAGGGAGAGGGTGCCAGCACAGACAATGCCTCCAGGGTCCTGAGCGGGAAGAGCTTGGGCACTGACAGGAGACTCCGCTTGGTGGGGGTCATTGTGGTCTGACAGGCTGGGGCAGGGCGGTGGGGGCGGATGGGATGGGTTGAGGGTAAGATGGGCAGCCATGATGTTGGGATGGTGGCCCTAAGACTTTATAGAGTACTGTATTTGCTTTCAAGGGGCAAAGGGACGGGTGTGTGTGTGTGTGTGTGTGTGGGTCTTGGTAAATTGTTAGTGTTTTTCAAGTTGGCGACATTGCTGAGTGTCTGAAGTTGAGCATGATCCCATAGGAGCCCTGTTGGTGGGGGGCTTGGAGAGCAGCCAAGATGGAGGGTCCTGGAGCAGGGCCTGGGGCGAGAGCATCAGGGGAGTGGGTGCTGGGAGGATGAGCTGATCTCTTCAGGTGCACCTGTCACCTCAGGGGAAAGCGAAGGGGGTAGGGTGGGGGGCTCAGCACCTGTCTTGCCAGGCCCCTCCATTCTCCCAGGGTCTCACAAGTCCACCTGCTGTGGTCTCCCCCATTGGCCAATCGGCTTGGTCTTGCTGCGCCTGGTGCTGGATGCCTGTGTGGGTGGGTGAGAAGGCTGAGGGGTGATGCGCTGAATGCAGGGGCAGCCTGAAGCAGGAGGGACCCAGTGTTGCCTGGGCCGGGTTGGAAATTCCCTTAGGGGGAGGTGGGGTGGGCTTCTCCAAATCACACGAGACGGGAGGCTGTGCATATCCAGTCCTGGGGCGCGGGAGTGGGGGGTGCTCAGGCAGTCCAGCCAGTGGCCCTGTCTGGGTTACAGTAGCTGAGCTCCAGCGGGCTTATGGTGTGCCGATGGGGGTGGGTCCCTCGGCGGCCGGAGCCGTGGGTGGTGGGCAGTGTTTGGCGGTGCTGACCGAGGCCCCTGACCGTGTGTCCTATTTCTGCAGACCTTCCTTCTGGCTGGGAAATGCCACCCTGAAGGTGCCGCTGGCACTCTTTGCCCTGAACCGACAGCGGCTGTGTGAGCGGTTGCGGAGGAACCCGGCCACGCCGGAGCGGGCCCTGGTGCTGCTGCAGGGTGGGGAGGAGACCCAGCGCTACTGCACGGACACCGGGGTCCTTTTCCGCCAGGTGAGCCCCCTGGAGCCTGCGTGGACCCCACCCACAGAGCCGGCTGAGGAAGACAGC